AAATTCTGGGACTAGGGGTATATGAGTGGGGCTACATAAGCTACTTTTGCCAGTTCTTCAAACGTAAAATAGATTCCAAGTAGTTTCAACTAGATTTATGTTATATTTATAACTGTTTCCACTTCTCAAGGCTCTGGATCTGAAACTTACCAATGCAAAATAGTATTTCATCTTTTCAATCTTTTTTTGGTTTTGAAACGAGCCTTTTGACATTATTTACCTAAGGAAAGGGCACGTTGTTTATAGCACCGTTAAGTACTTTGACCGACTTGGTGAATAGTTGGGGGTTCACTTTTCTTGAAGGCATGAGAAACAGTAGCTGAACGGATAATTCTTTTTTTTCAGGTTGCGTGTGTCAGACGACGTTAAACAGTCCAAATCTGGTGCCAAAAAGCAAGTGTCACCCACGGACAGGTCAGTGACGATTAAGTTTCTGTTTGCTGCTTGCAAATTTTGATAATTAATATACTGAATGTTTAAAAACCAGTTTGTGACATGGTTTTGTGGCATTGGACATTGTTCAGTCATTTAGCAGGGTTTAAACAGTCGTAAATGCTGATTAATCGGCTCTACACTACCGTCTGAGAGGGTTTTGGAGTGCAGGTTTAAAACCAAGTGGAACCTTTTCATTCTGTTTTGCACTTATGCTATTCAACTGAATACCTCACCACATAAAATTAAATGTTCTTCATCGCAAATGACAGAGTTCAGACCAGTGGGCCAATTGGCAGAGCGATTGGCCTTAATAATAAGTCGAACCTATAGTATCAACTCAGACTATCAGTAACTGAGCCACAAATTGTCTCTCCAATTTCCTCGTAGCCAGTAAAACTTGAGATATATGAACTGCTTATTTATCCCAAGGCAACCTTTCTAAACTTTTTACTCATCAACTAGCAGGGAGGGCTGTCAAACGCTTAATATTCGGTGGGCGATAGTTAAAAAAAACAAGTGCTTTGGAGAATCGGTCTACAGATCTACAGACTGGTTATTTTTCCGTAATTATGTCTTTGTTTATCGATTTTAGGTGTTATCTTTGATCCATCTTGTATAACGATTGACGCGAAAACCAGCCAAGCATATATTATAACCTTTGATGTGCTTCCTCAAGAAATATATTAATGAGGATGTTGATTGGAGGTTTTTGAGAGATCATGCAAAAGACTCAAAACATGATAGGCAGATGGTATTGCCGGCAAAGACGAGGAACAATAGAATGGCCATTTCTGGCTTATTAGCCATCGTCAGCCGGTTATACCCAGCCTCAAGTGATGCACCACTCGAGGCTTGAACTCGAGACCTTTTGATCAGAGTTTAACGCCTTAAACAGTGAACCACCAGCTCGTTGTCTTGTCGGTCTAGGTCGGGAGGTATTGACCCTTGTTGATGAACGCTCACCGACCGCTGATGGACCTTACTTGTCCCACTCCACCTTTGCTTTGGGCCTCCTTTCTCGGGTCCTGAATGCAGCTGTACAGCAAGCACATGACTTGACCTTGCTCTACAAGTATGTAAAAACAACTGTCATCTCTCTCACGCACAGACCTTCACACTCTCTCAGATATGACTGGATGCAGTCAACATCAGCGCCAGTGGCCACTGCCGCCTGAGACAGCAATTCCGGGTTCTGTGTATGATAAAGCCCTCATTCTGGTGACGCTTGCCTTTTACTTGTATGTTCAGCGATTTCAGGAAGTCAAGTTAGGCGACGAGGCAGCGATAGCAAACATCCCCGGGCCACCCACGCCGTCGCAAGACGATGACACCTTGCGTCCACACGCCTCCCAACAAAATGCCAGATAGGGACAACGGGGCGACAGGAACTAATTATCTGACGCCCTTCCTTTGTTGTAACGGAAGCCCAGACCGAGATATCACCGCTAATAC